ATATTTGAGCAGATGTCAGCAGAACTACAGGATATTTCAGCTGTACATTGGTTTTTGCTCAAACAGTCTTGAGGGTAGAAATACAGATGTTGTCCAGCCTAAAGGTAGATTGTCAAATGTTTAAGCATTTTGAAGATTACCAGTTTTTTTCCAGTTTTGACTTTTTTATTGCTTTGTCAGTAAAAGGACACCGTTGGACTAAATCTCTTTGTAAACACGTTTTCAGCACGCTTATTAGTAAATAATGAAGATGCTACTTTATTAGTCAAAGTCTATCCCAAAATTCTATTACCTGTAATCGCTAAAATATTTGGCAGATACCAAGAGTGAACCTGGGCCTTCCAGTTAAAAGGACTCTGCAGAGAAGAAACTTGAGCAGGCATGCAGCATTGATTTGTCCAAGTGAGTGCTGTGCTGCTGTAAGCTGCAGCTCAGGGTGGCATTGCAGTGAACTCACGGAATACATTCAAACAATGGGGTATTTCCACTCAGGGTGCGTTATGGTACCAGACTTAATCACTGAGTGCCATCAAGGAACAGATGGCAAGGGAGGACACAACTGGTTTGCAGTCTGCATAGATTTAAGCACGAGGCCATTAAGCTATCACATTCCCATTTCTGATAGATTTTGGTCAATGAAAAATTTAAAGACACATAATCCCTGATTATATGAAGTCTCAATCTGTGATTCATGACACTGGGAGTATTTCAAAATCGCTGAAGTTCTCTCTGTAATGAGGAGTTTTAAACTAATGCATTATTGGGATAGATGCCCCTGTCTGCTTGTATTGCTATTGAAATTAATGTATCTTGTCATAAGTAGGTTGCTCTTAAATGTAAAATTGCTTAAGGGTATCTTTTACTGCTCTGCTTCCTATCGACTTCTAGACAGATTTGCCCTATTTTGCTGGGCTGTTTGCCACTGAAGCAGCTCAGTATCCCCACCTCATAAAAGGAGCAGTTCAGAGCATGCATGGCTTTAAAAATGTTTCTGGTAGCCAACAGAATCTTAGGGTTTTAAAAAGCTGCTTTTTAAAGCTGTGTCTTAAACTGCTTCCAAAATGGACCTCTTAATCTTCAAAATTATTGAATTTGCATCCTGTGTTTCCACCAGTTGATTTTAGTGTCATTGGGCCCTAATGAATTCTAATAAACAGAATTGTTTTGCATTAATAAAAATATAATCATTATAAACATTTTACTGGTCATCAAAATTCAACAGTTCAACGTAATGGTCCAAATGCTTCATTAAAATCTTTGATAAATTAGTTTTCAAGAACTGTAGATGAGTTTAAAGATGCTCTAGAAGGTTTTGGCAGTTCCAGTTTAGAATCTTATCTTTCTATATGAAATATAGTTGCACATCAGACTTCATGCTTAGTAAAAATATGAGTATGTCATGACTTGGACCAGCCTGAAAAATATAATTCTACAAACAACATAACATGGAAATGTGTATCTGACATCCTGCTAGATTATTTCTTCTTTGAGAGGGACAAATTAAGACATCAGTACTTAAGATGATGAACTACATTGAATAAATAAATAATATTTAAAATGCTGTTTAGTGCATTTGAGAAAATGAGACCTGCTTATCAGTATAGGAAGTGAAGTTGGGTTGAGTTAATTTTTTAAAATAAGGAATCTCCTGTTCAAGGACCTAATCGGGGTCCTTTGATAGCAGTGGTGTGAGGAGAGATCTGTCAGGTCTGTGCTTGGCTCTTCCATCCACAAACCTGTAAGACAATCTGAAAGGTAGAAATAAATCAGTGAGTGGAGATGAGGGAGCTCTGCCAAACACCAGCACAGAGGTCACTTGGTGGGAGAATCCCTCGGTTTTTAATGTTTATTTTCATTTTGGTAGGTAGCCTAGAAAGAGTCTGTGTTTCTAATCATTTAATGACATCATGTGGTTAGAAAGATCTCAATTACTGTAGCACAGAGGTGAAGTCCTGCTTGCACTGGCAGGTGCTGAGAGCAGGATTTCACTCTGGGAAGCAGAGGAAACAATTCTCTGCCCAAGTCACTCATCCTGGGCATGGCTAACGTGAGTTAATTGAGAGTGTCAAAGACAACTGACTTCCCATGGCTGGAGGATAATGAGCCAAGAGCACGTTCATTACCAAAAAAGAAAATTCCAGAAAAATGAATCTACTACCGATAGTGAGTTATTGAGGGTACATGTTTAATTAAATTAAAGATGATTGGTAGAGATTAGTAGTGTTAGTACTGATATCTCACTACCTTGCTTGTATTGAACCTTAAAAACAGGGGGTTAAACTTTTTTTTTGCCACTACCTGCTTTTAAATTCTGCTGAAAAATGCTCCAAGGGGAGCTTGGAGTTTGGGGTTTCTGTTGGACCCTTTGCCATGATCTTCTGGGAAAGTTTAAAATTGCTAAAATAAATTTTTTCTGTGTACCAGGTTGTCTCAAGGCTGCCATTCTGATTTTAACTGCTGATCATCTGCTCTAGCAGAGCATCTTGAAACTGGACAGTGGAGTTTTTCCAAGTGGTAAAAATACAGCTCAGAGCACATCTGTGGCCCAAGTGTTCCCAGCAGAAATTCACAATCTCACTAAACTGCTTCCTGCAATTTAAGCCAACAACAAAAAGCCAAACCAAAACAAAAAACTCCCCAAGTTTGTGTTTTAAGCTACAGGAATGAATCATTTTGGCACTGAGCAGGTCAGTTTGTCATAGAGGGAGGTGAGGTTGTTAAAGCAGCCCAAACCTTCCCTGCTGGCTGGGCTGATCCCCTCGTGTCATAAAGATCCAGTGCTATGCAAATATTCAAGTTTTTTCTTCATCCAGGATCAATCTCGATATCCTAATGCAGCTTTGGAAATGAGAGGATGGAAAGCCTGAGCTTTGATGACGTTGGTGTTTTGAGTTCTTGTGGTTGCACACTAATTTCGGTGTCAATGCTAAAAATAAGAGGTGGCACAATATCCAGGAAACCCCTGTGCCCTGCTCTGAGTGCTCTGAAGGGACAGGCACATGAAATGTGTGGCTGTAGAAATGCTGCTGAAGATGATGAAAAAGCCCAGAGATAATCCCATGGTCATTAAGATTAAAGATGAAGATTAAGGGCCCAAATCGGCCTTTTGGAGATATGTGTGTAGAAATAGGAGACTTCAGCTGATCTCTGTAGGTCAGCAGGATTTATTGTGGATTTTCTCTTGTGATTTTAACAAATTTGAATGAATTCAGTGTGGAAAGGAGACCAGTTCTGTGCATCTGCAGAGCAGAATTATTTATAGTCCATTTAGTTGCTTTTAAAGTTACAGGTTGGCTGAAGTAATAAACCCAAGGTCACATCTTAGTCACGTGGTTTGGCTAATATGTTCTAAAATTTATTTTAATTGTTAGTAATATTTTTAGGAACGTGGTGATGAGCATTTAGGAATGAGGCAATTACCCCTGTCCTAATTTTCCTAGATTTATAATAATGGATACAGAAAAAAAAAGATACTGTGCCTACTACTTTTATTTTAAAAATGTCTGTGTTGGAGGTGCATTTTTTATATGACCTGACTTCCTTTCCCAGGAGTGTTTTTTTCTATTATTTCTATTTGTGCTTACAAGCCAGGAAATGCTGGTAGCAGTAAACTGAAAGAAAGATAGAAATATATCTTTAGAAAAAATCAAATATGCTAAAAGTTAAGCAAACTGTAAAAGTCAAATAAAGTTTGTGTAGGTAACTTACATATAAATGAAAAATCTGTAATTTTTGTACAGAGAGTATGAGAAACTACCAATTAAAGGGACAAATTGCATCAGAGGAAGTTGTGATACACAACGTTCAGGTCATTTTTGTTTCACAGCAAATGACTTCTCTTTCTGCATTTGGTTCTGACTCTAATCCTTTGCCTGTGTGTAATTATTGAATTCCATTACTTTTGCACTTTACCAGGATCATTCTCCATTGCAATAGTATTTTTTGAAGGTTGTTTTTTGTTTGGTTTTTTTTTTCCCTCCCAAAGTTTGCCAGTGGCTGTTCTAGAAAGTGTATTCTGTATTCCATTGTTTAAATCATTAATGACAACGTTGAATAAAAGCAGAGCCAGCAGACACATATCCCTGCAGGGAGCCCTGGTTTGACAGGGAAAACTTGGTAGTTTGTTTTTGGGTGCAGCATCCCAGCCAGCTCTCATTTCTCTGGTAATAATAATAATATCATGAAACACTACAATAATACTATTAAATGTCAAAAGTTGCACTGTGCAACTGTATCATGAATCTGTGAAAGTGAGAAACTTCACATTTGCCATCCCTTAGGAATTCTTTAATTTCAGAGGGTGTTGTGGGGGGTGCTTGGATTCTGCATGGTTTTCCATGAGAAATGCCAGTGAATGAATGGGTGTCATGCTGTCTGTCCTGTGTGTGTCAGAGGTATTGAAAAAGGGTGACTCATGTGCATTTCCTCAGATCCTTTCTGCTTTGGGAAGGAAGAAGTGATTGATTTCCTCCCTGAAGCCAAGACAAACCAGAGAAAAATCTGGCAGTATATGGTAGTACATGACAAAAACTCCAGTTAATAATCCCTTGGTTGACACATTTCAACAACCTGTAAATATATTAAAAAATCTGTAAATATGTTTATATTTATAGTTTAGTGTGTGTTAGCACGATGTGTTTCATATTCATCATCATCCTAAAAGTGAAAAATTCCATTTTGTTCCTGGTGGTAATGGAATAGCCACAAGAACTTTGCTGCCAGACCCATTTCCTGGGAGTTGTGGGTGGGTGCTCCCAGTTTGAGGCTGCATTGATGGCAAACAGGGACGTGGGGCTTGGTTGGCTCTGTCAGAGACATTCCCAGCTCTTTCCATGCACCACAACTCCTTATTGATGTGTGGAGGGAAACACAAGGCATGGTCATCAAGACAAGGAATGGCTGTGCTGGCACATTGACTCCAGCATTTGTTTTATAGAGAAAGCTTTAAATATTAATGTTCAACGTGTTTAATTTATTCTTTTTTTCTTTTCTTTTTGCAGCAATCCAAAGTCTGCTAATCAGAGGATAAACAAAAAAGTCAACAATGATGCATCATTAAGGATTCAAAATTTGTCTGTTTTGGTGAAACAAATAAAAACTTACTATCAGGTCAGTAATTGTTCGTTGTGTTGTGTTTTGCTTGGAATTATTTCTGGATTTTCTTCTGTAGTTATGGCTTTAAGGGTAACAGGAATAAGATCAATAAGAGATACCTGTATGGATGATTTAGATATCTGGTCCAATTTTTATCACTATTTACAGGAATAAAGGTGGTGTGGGCACATTTTGGGATGAGAGATGATCTGTTTATAGAATAGATACTCTGTGTGTTCAGTTTCTCCTATGGTGCATCAAGTATTCTTGGTTGGTATTTCCTGAGTTGAAGCAAGTTCTGTGCCAGTGAGAGAGATTATTACATGTGCATTCAGTCTTGGAAATGGAATTGTTGTTAGGAAAATGGGATTAAATTCACTGGGCTTAGAATGAATCTGGGAATTTGTAGTAAATGCAGTGAGGATCCAAGGAGAACTGGAGTTGGGTGCAGTGGGAGCTGGTTGGGCTGCTGTACACATGGACACGCCACAGCTGGGCACTGCAGCTGTCACCAGTGTCCCTTCAGTGTGGCTTTCAGTGCCCTTCCACACTCCTTCCTGCCAGGAGAGCCCAGACCTGGGAGAAAACCTTTGCAATGCCTCTCCCCACACCTCGTGGGCAGCCCGTGCTGAAATCTGCTGTGTCCATACAGTGTGTGCTTCCCAAAAGTGAGGGCAGTGAAAGTTCCCAGCTGTCACTGTCCTGCCCGAGCACAGAACCTTTTCCCAGCACTTCCCACCCTTCTCTCCTTGGCAGCCCCTGCACATGGATGTATGTGCTGCCTGCTAAGGCCCAGATGCTTCTCCTTTTCCTAATGGAAATCATTTTCCACCAGGCATTAGTGTTCCACAACTGGAGCAGCAGAAGGCACAAAGCACTGACAGGATTGATCTTTGTTGGCACACAAAGCATTCCCTGTCCTGCACTGGCCTCATGGTATCACCAGGCAGAATTTCTGGCATTTATGTACCTTGGGATGATTCAGGATTGTGCACGTTGCTCCAAACCTAGAAATAAGCTTATTAGAGCTTTTTTTAAAATAAAAAAATACTCTTTTTGAAGAACTGGTAAAAGCAGTCAGCATGCCTTTAATAGTCCAAGCTATATTGAACTGCCCTTTTAAGTGTTTTATACACTTGCCCCCCCATTTCTCTCCAAAATCTTTCAGGGTTTTGGTCACCATGCAAACATTGAAGGGCTGGTGTTCCTAGCAGGAATAAAAGCATTTACTCTCCAAACTGAGAGCTCCCGTGAATCTAAAATTGCTTTTTCCACGTGTAGATATTCACTCCCTCCAGAGGTCTGTGGTAGTTGAAGTGTTAAAGGATGGGCTGTTTCACACAGGGGTCAGCTGAGTTCCTGTCACCTGTGAAATTCCCCAGGGCAGGAAAGCCGGGGCTTGATGGATGCCCTGGAATGGAAGTGAGAGGCCTCCCTTAGCCTGGGGTGAGGCAGGAGCCTCTCAGCCCAGTGCTCCTGAAAGCTGAGTGTACAGGGACCCTTCCCTGGGGCTGCCTGGGATGCCAGGGGAGCACTCACTGTGCCCAGGGAGGGTTGTACTGGCTGTTGGAATCCCTGATGGATGTGGGGATTTGGAATTTTTAGCACTTCTCATTGTGAGCTTGTCCATGCTGGTTTGTTCCATGTGGTTTTAGAACATCTGTGGAAAACCTTCTCTCATTTTCTCCCAGCAGCAATGCTGTGGATGTACTTGTCAAAAAACCTGCACTGGTAGAATATAACATTCAAAATTAAGGTTTATGTTAGATTACTAATTTTTTTTTTTTTTGTTGCTGCATCATCTTTGTTATTCTCTGGAATTACAGTTCTGGTCCTGAACCAGTAATTTGTGTACATTTCTTGGCAGTGTAAGAGCATGGAACTGTTCTCAGCTGTTAGTTCAACACAGGTGATTCTAAATTTCTGGTGGGCTCGAGAGGTTCAATCCAGTGAGCAGATTTGACTGAGGACGTGGAAATCTTCAGTAAGATAAATGCTAATGAGCTGTAAAAGTTAGTGCAAGCCAAGGCAGTGCTGAGGTGAACACAGAGTGACAGAAAAGGTGTCAGACATCTCTGAGGCAGGGCAGAGGTGTTGTGAGGAAACAGGTGATCATGTCCATTCAGCACACGGATTTTGGTAATGCTGCTCATACTCTGCTTTGATACATGATCAGCTTTATGATAGCAACATGGAATTATTTGAGATGCTACCAAAAAACCACCCCCAGAAAGCCACTCTAAGAGTATGTGATTTTCTTTCATAGTAGCTGTTGATACTCATTCAATTCATTCTATTTTATCTGCTCTATATTGATTTAAAACATCCTGTGGTGCACTTTGTGTCTTGCTTTGATTTGAAAATGGTCTTTATCAAAGTCTGAGAGGTACAGGTGTCACACTTGGTTGAATTTCATGATATTTGAGGAGGTCAAAGCTGTTTTCTCCCTCCTTACAATTTGTCTTAGGTGTGACCAGAGGGAATATATTTTTCAGTCTACTATTAATCAATTCAGATATCTTTTTGATGTTGTATATTAACTGGTGGGAACTTTCAAGTATAGCTCACCTAATAATTTTTACAGGTGTTTTTGAAGAAATATTGGGTTTTTTTTCAATTTGACCTTAAGGAAATGGACTTGTGTTGGGTTGTTGTTGACAGTGTGACACCTGATGTGTGCCTTGGGCTCTTTTGGAATATGTTGCTTTTGAGCAGGAGCATTTTATACAGTAATGGATCTGTGGAAAAACAAAAAGCCTGACTATAGGATGGCATCTGCTGGGAATAAACATCTGGGAGCAGGAGAAAGACTGTTCTGCTTCAGGAGCATTAGGCTGTGTCTAGACTGGGGATTTGACCCGATTACAGCCATTCCAGGAGCTGCACTGAGGGAATCCATGGAGCAGAGAGGCAGAGCTGCTGCTCTCAGTGCTGTGTGCCACTTCCAAGCTCAAATTCCATGGGATTGTGCACACGGGGCTTTGTACCTTTATATTCACAGCTGGCCCCTTGGCACTGCAGCAAAAACCCCTGGGATTTTCACATCCGCGTTTTGGTGAGGCCAAAGAAGCCCTGAAATAAAGGAAATTGATTTTTTTTTTTTTGCAGTAGAAATGCACTCTAGAGCCGATAAAATCAATATGTATCAATAAGTTAGTCAGGGAAACATGAACATAATAAATGTAAAGGGTTTTGCTGCATTCTGAGACTCGGGATCTCGTTGGCTTAAGATCCCTAAGCCAGCTCATTGCCACAAGAGGATTTTGCTGTGTGAGATGATTGTGCAAACCAGTAAAACAAAGCTTCTGTAGAAGTAGCTCACATTTATAATTTTTTTAAAAAATTAGAATGCAAATAATTAAGTATTGTACAAATTGTGTGCATGAATTCCTGAAAAATATTAAAACTGTTTAATTAATACTGATTTCTCTTCAATGGCTGTTGGTATTTGATGTTTGCTTTCATTCAGTACATATGCTGTAAATAATGTTTTAATTCACTTTTATAGGAGACTTTGCAGCAGTTGATCATGATGTCTTTGCCAAATGTGCTAATAATTGGCAAAAATCCTTTTTCTGGTAAGTTTATTTTTGGCTAGGATAAAAATGTACACTGGTGTGATAATTTTCACTGGAAATAAAATTGCTATAGGGTTGAGCCTTTCAATAGAAGATTGTGTAAATACTTTATCAAATAAGTGTTTAATAATGATTTTCTTTGTCCACACCAAGGGTCCACACTGTAAAAAACGTGTTCTGTCCCAGCCTCAGCCCTGGCTCTCGCTAGGATTTATACTGAGTGCATTTCCCAGCAGCCACTGAACCACTGATGGCACAAATTAAAGTTTCATGCACTCCCAGCTACTGCACTTTCAACTTTCTTTGCCTGTGTCAGTTCTGACGGAATGGGCAGATCAGTGCATCTCACTTGATCCAGCTCCTGATCCTTGTTTCTCCTTCCCCCACACTCTCCTGCTTCTCTTGCATCCTTACCTGAAAAATATTGCAATGACCTTCTTGTTTTCTCCCCTGAACTGACGCTGTCTTCTCCATGCTCCCACCTTCTCTGCTTCCAGCTCTGAGAGTTGCAATTTTCAGACCAAGAAAATTAGCCAGTGTGGAGCCAGCTGACTGTCCCCAGCCACTTGGGAATCTCTGCACCATGCTCTCAGTTCCAGAAGCACGGAGCAGACACACCTGGCCTGCATGGAGCCACTGTGGATTGGGCAGGATTTATTTCCTTGGGTCTCATGTGTCCCAGGTGTTCTCCTCCTGACGTTCTGACACCTCAGCAGAGAGGTCAGGAACTGCTCTGACAGGCTGTGTAGCTTCCCCTGGCTGCTTTGATTTCTTCCCTGCCACCCTTCCGTGTCTGTGGGACAGGGGGTTCCTCATGAGCCAGAAGAGCCATCTGTGTTTCCTCACCTCCCAGTCCCAGGGCTCATAACGTTGGTATTTTCCATATCCCATCTGCACATACCCCATCTCTGTAGGTACCTTGCTTGAATTCTTTTGGGTTTTACTTTCTGCTTTTGAATATTGCTGCTTTTGCTTCTGAGGTCACAGCTTTTTCAGTTTTTATATGTGCAGCTGCTGTCATATGCACCAAGAAGTGTGAATGTGGTCTCTTCCTTTCCAAAAGAACAGAATGCATCCTGCTTTTATAACTTTGATTCCAGACTTTCTTGCCTCCATGGATTTGCCTAGAAACCAGAATTACTGGAAAAACAGATTTTAAAACCCCAGGTCATACTATTGTTTTGTAGTGACATTTTTTAAAATTCTGCTCAAGATACTGAGAGAAGATGTCATAACAATAGTGTGTATAAGATGACATTTATTTTATCAAACCCCACAGAGTTAATTCTACATTCAGTTGTATACATTCAATTTTATGGTTTGGTCATTTTGAAGGAGGTGTCTTTGTCTTTTGGGATCTGTGGTTTGGCAGCTTTGCTGATATGTGCTTTGCTCTTCTGTGGGGCTTTTGTTGGATTTGTGAGAAAATGTGGACTTTCCTGTAGTGTAGCACTCACAGTAAAAAAAAATTGTTATGTTTGGACAACATTCTTGAAGGTGTTTCAGCTCCCTGCTGGAGTTGAGTCACAGAGTTTGGTCTGACCTAGAATTTAGACTTGTTCTTTTGGGTTCTGTCCAGAGCCTTTCCCCTTTGAGAGTTAGGACTGCTCTTGCTGTGTCAGCTTAGAAAAGGAGCTCATCCCTACATGGATTTTTAAGCTTTTTTTGGGCAGCTGCAGGGAAATAAAACCTCAGTGACCTTTGGAGACACTTGCTGTGTAAATCTGATTGCATCAAGGCAAGCCCCAGAGTAAAAATCAATTCCCTGATAAAGACTTGGATTCGGTCCACTAAAACTTAGGCTGGAGGTGTGATTTTTCACAGGGATGTGTCCCAGTTTTTCCCCTTTGCACTTAAGGAATGATCAGTAGAGAAATCCCAGAAGATGCCAAATTGCAGATGGCAGGAACTGATACCAGAGGGCAGTTGGCTCATGGAGGAAAATGCAGGGAGAAGGTTGGAGTTGAGGTTTGGTAAAACAGGGATTTTATCAGGAAATATTTCCTCAGCTGATTGGCAGGAAGGCAGTTGGAGGAGAGCTACAGCCTGTGACTGTAAATGTTAAATTAAATTACAAAGGGATAATGATGAGGCAGAGGGGAAGGGGAAAGATGAAAACAAGTTCATATTCCTCAGGGAGCAAGGCAGGGGAGGATGGAAGCCTGCAGAGGGTGTGAAAGTCAGGGATAAGGGTAAAAGATCAAAAAAAATCAGCACAGGGCAGGGCCAAAGTTCAGCAGCAGGTTGAAGGGTGTAGAAGAGAATTGTTTATTTCTGTGTTTCTGCTGGAGCAAAAGAAGAAAAACAGAAGATGGGGGAAGCTGAGATGGGTCAGTATTTTGCCCTGTTCCTTCAGGGAATGTGGGGGAGAGACAAAGAATCAATATTCAGGCAGTCAGGAGATGAAGAGAGATGAAGAGGAGCTCAGGGATTGCTTAAAATTTTAAAAAGTGTGATTAATTTATTGGGTTAAGTGAATGTTGACCTTTATTGATACCAATAAAGACACAGCCAGGTGGAATTCCCCTTCTTCAGCTGAAGCAGCCTCTGGTGAAACACATTCCTTGATGGTTTTTCTGTTTCTCCATAAAAGACTTGACAGCTCAAGCCTTTGGGATCCAAGAAGTCTGAATAAAAGATCAAAAATCTCCCATTTTGAGTCCATGTTTTTTGCAGTGTATTTATCTACCTGAGAAACCTCTTGAAAAATTGCAATATTCCATGTTCATTGGGATTATTCACATTATGTAGCTCCCTCCAAAAGCAGCAGCTTGAGTCAATGCCTGAACTGTTTGGTCATCCTTGAAGCATTTGCTTCATGGCATTTATGTTCTAGATATAGAATATATTTCTATGTTTAGTAGTAAGATGAGGACATTGTGAACCTAAAAAGTAAGGAACATTATTATTAATCTGTAAAACAGAGTTCTTTAACCTAAGCTTCTTTAGGAGATTAAGATGCTTAAGGCCAGATTTGGAAATACATTTTGATTTTTTGGATGTGCAGATGAATATCTAATGCAGCTTTGTGAGGAATTGAAATGAACTTGTCACCTAAACTCTTGCAGCTTGGGAGTGGCACATAATTTAAGCACTTTTGTAACTATCTTGAGATACCTGAAATTACCATTGAAAACTTGATTGGAGGTCTCCACAACACTTCTAAAAATGTCACTCTGAAGTCTTGCTTTTTGAAAGGTGAATTTTTATTTTTTTTCCATTTGTAATTGTTATGGCTGTTAAGGTGTTTGCTAACTGGAAGTCAAAAGTTAAAATGGCAAAAGGACTGAGCTGAAAGCTCATCTGGTTGTTTTCTAAACGAGGTTAACATAAATGATCTGGAAATAATGAGAAAAAACCTCCTGGTTTCTGAGGTATAGGGGAAGAAGCTCTAATTACAATTTACAGAAAAAATTACCATTTTTTCTTGTTTTCTTCTTAGAGCCAGGTACTGAAGAAGTAAAAAAGCTCCTCCTGCTTTTGCTTGGTTGTGCAGTTCAGGTGAGTTTAATTTTGTTTATCTCTATGAAACTTTTGAGTTACTGATCCCTTTTCTTGCTATTTTAATACCTGGGGTGGTATAAAACTTTCTTTCCTTTGGTGGTGCAACTACATTCCTTGAAAAATTGGAATATTTTGAATTTTTAATTAAATGGCTACAACCCTACACCCATTATTGCACAAATACCACCATAACCTTCTAATGGGTTATTAATTTCAACAGTGTTAATTTACCTGATATTGTAAAGAAAGGAAGGAAATGGTAAAGCACTGAGAATTAACTCACTGCACTATTTCATGTATTTAGTAAACTATCGCAGAATTTGAATAAGTAGCAATTTTAAGAAAATTCTTCCTTGTCTCATTTCAACTTGTTTTTCCTTGTGTCATTTAATTAGTGTTGAAAGTTATTAACCATGTGACCATTGCAATATCAGCTTTTTAAGTTCCAGCTCTAAGAAATACAAAAGAGGAATGAAAATACTTGTGATTGTAAATATAAATGTGTATAAAATAGCTGTCTCTATTTTTAGTGTCAGAAAAAAGAAGAATTTATTGAAAGAATCCAAAGTCTGGATTTTGATACCAGAGCAGCTGTTGCAGCCCATATTCAGGAGGTATTTTGGGGGGTTTTTGCTTTTAATTTTGGGGATTTTTTTGAGGTGGAATTTTGCATTGCAGGAAAGGGAGTTGCACGTGTTCAATGGCAAGTAAATCACATCTGTGATTTGCATATTGAGTGGTTGCAGTAAGCAAAAAAGGCTTTTATTTTTTCACTTGATTCACAAAAAGATTTCATGATGGAGCATTTTTGGGTTATATTTTTAGAGCAGTACCAGAAATCAGGTTTGTTGCTTCATGGATTTTTTAGTTACAGCAAATTCAGTGCAGTGAAATCTTTATATGCAAATTTCTTTATAAAACATCATTCCAATCAAATGTGTGTGGTAGGTAATTTATAATGTTATTGTCACCTTGCCAAAAGGAGAAGGTGTAGCTTCCAGCCAGACAAAAAACTCTTCCTTTACATACAATTAAATATATTTTAAATTATTTTTCAAACCTTGTCCAGAGAATTTAATCTTTAGAGTTTCAGCTTTATTTTCTTTATGCTTCCTTTCTACCCTTAAAATTTCAAGAGGATGTTTTTTCTCTTTCATTTCCCCCCATGTAGGTAACTCATAATCAGGAAAATGTGTTTGACCTGCAGTGGATGGATGTGATTGTGCTGACACAAGAGTATGTTGAGCCTCTCCTGAAAAATATGGCATTGCATTTAAAAAGACTTATAGATGAAAGAGATGAGCACTCCGAGGTATGGATGTGGGTTGGTGCTTAAGAGAAATACAAGAAACCTTTTTTTATTTAGATAATGCAGCTCAGGATTTTTTGTGACTAACAGTTTAATTTTCTGCTGATGTGTTAAAGCAAGGATTCCTGACTGCCAGAACGTTGTTTCAGGGAGTTCCTTTGTGCATATTTGTTAAATAATGTAGGAAAAATCAAGTGGGGAAGATAATAGGTGATCTTTTCCCACACAGCCAGAGTGGGAAACAACTTCAACATCCCTCAGTAGCTGAAAACAGAGAATCCAAAGCTGTATCAGCTGCATTTACCAGGAATCAGTAACCCATCAATTGGCAGGCCAGTCACTGAAAGGTGCCTGTCCTATTCCCATTGTCCAGCTGTGAGGGGGATAAAGCAGAATCCACAGCAGCAGAGGAGGTTTTGCAGGCTTCTCATGAGGCACAGTTGTGGAACTTTGTTAGAATCAAGGAACAGAAATGTATTTAATAACAACTCTGAGTTATGAATCAGCTCAGTGGTCCCAGATCTGCAATGTTGCAATTATTCCAGATATTCCTTGGAAAGGTGTTCCAGAGTACAGCCTTGGTAGGATTAAAACAGAGGGTAGAGGATGGGGGTGATGCCTTTGTGCACAGCAAAGAGAAAACACTTTAAACTATGAAACATGTTCATATTTGCCTAATACCTTTATTTATAGGGGAAAATGAGGGGAGAAATAATTTTATTATTTTTAGAGGGAAATATGCATATTCCTGTAGATCTGATGCTTTATTTATTCACTTGCCAAGGATGCTGCTGCTCACTGAAGAACACAACTTTGTTTAGGGATACACTCTTACCTTTATTTTCAAGAGGTGGTGGTTTTCAGGGAATTCACACCTTTCATTACCCAGTCTGTTCTGTGCAGTGGTCATTTTGTGGGCTGAAAAGTCCAAAGTGAAAAATAAAAATTAAAATGGCAGAAGGTCCTGCTCAGGAGCTGCAGCTCTGTGCTTTAGGCATAGAGCTCTCCCTCGACGGCCAGAGCCTTGGCGTGGCTGCTGTGCCCGTGCAGTGCTGGCTGCGGATGGCACGGCCAGGGCTGGCAGCGAGTGTCACTGTGCATTAGTGGCTGTGCTCTGTCCCCAGACCATCATCGAGCTGTCGGAGGAGCGGGACTGCCTGCGCTTGCTGCCGCACGCCTCGGCCGCGCAGTCGCCCTGCGGCTCCCCCGGCATGAAGCGCACCGAGAGCCGGCAGCACCTGAGCGTGGAGCTGGCCGACGCCAAGGCCAAGATCAGGAGGCTCAGGCAGGAGCTGTGAGTACCAATGCACGCTCACATCCTTCCCTAACCCTTCCTTTCAAGTGCTTTTTAGTGTTACTGCTCCCCAGCAGGGATGTTTTCATGACACGAGAAGATTTGTAGACCCATGGGACAAATTCAACTTTTCTTCTCTGTTTGTATTCATCATGATGTGCTCACCTAAATTTTGCACTCTGATGTCCCTGAAATCATGGATTAAGGGTGGAAGTCTCCCAAATCACAGCATTCTGTTCTCAATCCAGGTGATCATTAAATCACCTGGAGGTGATCATGATTAGCATGATTTCTTGTTTCCAACCAGAAATACTCACCTCTTGTAATTCATGGTATAAATTCCTTGTAGATAGGACAAAAAATTTCCATGGGAATGCTTTCCTGTCTCCCCCCTCTTTGTTCCTGTGTAAAAGATTTCCTGTCTGCACAGTACTTGCTCCTGATCATGTAGGTACCTGTGGGCACTTTGTCTTCGTGGCCAAGGAGCAAATCTGAGCAGAATGAGGAGTTATTTAAAGAGAAGATCTATAACAGATCTATGGAGAATCTGCTTCTCCCTGTAGCAATGTGTCAGTTGTTTTAGCAGAGTGAAGTGTGTGTGTGCTCTGAATTAAAATGCTCAATCTGAAGAGATTCGTGTATAAACAGCATAAAGATTTTTTTTTTTTTTTAATTCAACAATGGAGAGAGGAGACAGGTAAATTAAATCATAATCTGAAAGCAACATAAGTCACAATTCCCAGAGTTTGTTGATCAGATCATTTCTAGCTGGCTGGATTAAGGATCTTGTTGATTTACTCTGAGGATCCCCTTCCCCCACTCCAGCGTGGTCTTCATGAGGAGCAGAGGACAAAAGATGGGGCTCTTTTTTTCCTGATTGTCTGTATTATTATGTGTCTCCTGCAATGAGCCCGCCCAGGATATTCTATAAACAGCTGCACCAAGAAAATTAGTGAAAAAATTGCTGTTATTAGTTTGATTGACAGTTAATAGATAGCCTAAACAGTGAACACTGGTATGTTCTGTATAATTTAGTCCAATCCTCTCCAGTCTGTAGCTGAAGCGTGCAATTAGGGCAGCACTGATGGCTCAGAACAGTCCACATTTTGCACTCTTATTTGAATTCAGTTGGTAAATAATTTCCCTTACAGTATCTTAAAATACCAGACTTGGATGAATTAACTTCAGTCTGCAGCATTTAGTGTTAAATGCTGCATCTATTTGATAAATTTAAAATTACATTAATTCCAGACTTGAAAATACTCATAAAATTTATTTCTAATCTGGTTTTGGCAGTGAACCTTCATACCTGGTTTAATATGCAGTGTAGCTGATGTAATTTCATTTAAAAGGTCTGTAAAGATGATTTTTCAGTTGGATGCAAACCAGGCAATACAGAAACTCCAAAGCTGGAAATTGCACACCTCATTTTCTGGGTGTTTGAGTTCTGTGTGCTCCCACGTAGAACAATAAGAGGAATATGGATGCTGATGGAAAAGTTACAGAAATCAGGAATAAATTTGTGTTTGTGCCTGGTTTCTGAGCACTTCTGGAGGGGGAAAGCTGTGACAGGGATGTTGCACTGAGATGTGCAGAGCTGAGCCTCCTGTGCTTGTGGGCTCAGTGACCTTTTCCAAAAAGATCATTCATGGTGAAATTGGCTCATTTTTAAAAACAACTGCTCTGGTTTTATTTAAAACATACTTACACTTTGTTGGTGTGATTGCTTTGAGACAGTAGGATACATTTCAGTCCATTAAATTCTCTTATTTCCCCCTTTTCTACTTTTGTTTCTTGTATTCCAAAATGTGCAGTAATATAGTAACACATTTGAATGTGCAGTATATCTTTTAAGAATATTCAATATTGGCAGATTTTTCAACACCAAATACTGTTTGTTCTGAGGTGCAGTTTTGAACGTCAAAAGGTGTTCTTTGTCTCTGAGAGATTTAAATATTTCCTTTGCACTTGTGGTTTAACAAACTCATTTTTTAAGCATTGGGAAATGAGTTGGAAGTTAAGAATGAGTCCTGTAGGAATTGTAGTGTTCTATGTCAATTTTTTTTTCCACAGGTTTCTGAGTAGACTAAAACAGACACTGTGTTGTTTCCATAAAATTAAAATTCATTGTGTGTTTCATGAAATTACTGAGCTTATTAAGCAGTATCTTCTTCAATTGAGTAAAGATACCTAAAACCCTTAATTCTTCTCTGTAAGAAAAGGAAAAAGTACAGAACTGTAAAAGTGCTTTTAAAATTGGCTTTACTTGGTTGAGACAGAGAGTCAGTGTCTGGTTCTCCTGGAAAGAATTTGGATCTTTTGAATGTGTAATTTGAAATTATTCTGTGTTGGCTTTTGGATGTGGATCTGTTGGTACACATTCATGTGCATTGTCTGTGGTTTTTTACATAAAATCCCTTATTGCAGAAATTCCCTTATTACACTCTTGTTTTCTACCCTGCATGAGCAGGAAACAACAATTTAAAGCACTCTGAAAAATGTAACAACATTTAAAATATTAGATAAAGACTAAAACCAAAAGAATAGCTAATGTAATAATGGTACCCCTAAATTTTACACTCTGATGTCCCTGAAATTGTGGGTTAAAGGTGGAAGCCTCAGAAATCTCAGCATTTTGTTCCCAAAGCTGGTGATCATTAGCAGGATTTGTGGCCATGTTTAACTGGTTTGTGTTTTCTCCTTCAAGTGAGGAGAAGACTGAGCAGCTGCTTGACTGCAAACAAGAGCTGGAACAGATGGAAGCTGAACTGAAGAGACTTCAGCAAGAGGTGTGGGTTTCATCATTTTATTATTTTAAGAAAAGTTGTCACCAGCAGAACAATTCACCACTTTTTTCTGATATTAATATGCTTCTTAATACTTAAGTTTTCCTCCTCCTTTTCCTCCTCTGGTGGTTTTGTGTAATTGAATAAAAAAGCCCGCATTGTGGACCACAAGTAGTTAATTATTAAGTTAAAAATAATCAAGATAGCTTTTCTTAATTAGACAATTTAGCCTTAAAAGGCCTTGTAAAGAAGGAAATACATCTCCATTTTTAGCTTGTCAGCTTAAGGTGCTGTAAAACTCAGTTTGTAATAGAAATAAAAATAAGAAACGTTTTAGTCCGAACGGGAAATACCATCTGGCGCATTTAAAGAAATACAAAATAAAATAAATATAAAATAAAAATATGAACTCAAAAGCAGCCAGAAGGAAGACCAAGGCCATTTTTGTGTGTCCCTGTGTCCCAGAACATGAACCTGCTGTCGGATGCCCGCTCTGCCAGGGTGTACAGGGACGAGCTGGACGCGCTGCGGGAGAAGGCGATCCGCGTGGACAAGCTGGAGAGCGAAGTCAGCCGCTACAAAGAGAGGCTCCACGACATCGAGTTCTACAAAGCCAGGGTGGAGGTGAATAAATCCAGGGGGAAATCACCCAGGAGCACCATTCTTCTCTTGGCTGGGGCTTCTTCAAAGCTTTTCAGTGCTTTAATTCGGAGGTTAAAGCGTTGGGATGGGAGAAAGGGTTGTGGCTTCTTGCTGTGGCAGTCAGGTTTTTGTGACAAACACTTAATTTGTGACAAATTCCAGTTTTTAGGGAATTGTCGCCATATCTAATGGCATGGAAGTGGAAGCCTCTGTGAAGGATGGATTGAGAAACCTGCAGAGGAATTAATTAAAGAAATGCTCTAAATGCAATAATTCCCTTTTCCTCCTGTATGTCTCCTAAGGGAAAGCAATTTTCTAAGTCAAGTGTTGAGGAAATGAAGGCTGTTCATATAAATGAGTACAATGGCATAAAATACCCTAAAAAAAGATGTACCAACACCAGGCAAGGGGAGCTTAGAGTTCTGGCATGAATTAGTAGTTTAGGAGACAAATCACCAGGCAGGAATTTATCAGGCCATCATTCTGTCTGTAAATGCCAAATTTGATGGGCAAGAGCCATATGGCATGAAACTTAGTCAAGGAAAACAGATTAGTGTACAGGATTTCACAACAGTGGAAGTGTCATTTTCATAGAATGTTTAATAAACCCCCTAAAAATTGTTTGTGTTTTCATAGCTTGTAAACTATCAGATATTTCAAGCATGCTTCAGTACAGACAGATGTTAATTAATTGGGTTTGCTTCATAATAATTATGAGTTAAGTTAATATTTGTGTAGGGGAGAGCATGAGGGATGTTTGTGTGATCTTATTTCAGATTTTGAGGCTGACTGTTTGTGCTGAAGTTTGAAAAGTTTTGTCTTTATATGATGAGGGAAGTTGCCAATTAGGTATTTCACACATTACTTTCATCAGCTGCTATTAAAACATCCTCTGTGTACCAAAATTAAAGCTGCTCAGGCCCTTTGAGAAGTGGCTGGTTGTATTTTAAGGTTGTGGTTGCATTTTCAGCATCCTGGCCTGACTTTGGGCCCAGTGTCCTATAAACCTAATTTTGAGCTGTACATGCTGTACTTCTTTCCAGATCACAGCTCAAATGACAGAGAGTCTGATGATTTGATTATAATTATCAACACCTTATTAGTTCTTAATGGCTTAGGGAGTATTTCATTTAATTTATGTTAAATTTTATTTTCACAGAAATTCCTAAGTTGCATTTATGTGGAATTGCTGTAAATGTGCTTTTTATAAAAACTCTGTTACAGCTCCCAGTTTGAGTTTAGGTTTCTGAAATGGGTTGTGATGTGTATCAAAGTTTGTATGAGCAGGGGAATACTGGTTTGGGATTTATTTGTTGTTGTTGTTGGTCCATTTTTGCAGGAGTTAAAGGAAGACAATCAAGTGTTGCTAGAAACCAAGACAATGCTGGAAGATCAATTAGAGGGGACCCGAGCCCGTTCAGACAAACTGCACGAGTTAGAAAAAGAGAATTTACAACTAAAAGCTAAATTGCACGATATGGAGATGGTGAGTGTCAGGGGAGGGTGGCAAAGGCAACTGATCCACGCTGAATTTAATTTCCATTTTTAATAAAAGCCTCCAAATTGGTAGAGAAGAGAAGGAATGTGATGATAAATGCAGAGATTCAAGAGCAATAGGATTGATTTTTTTTGAATGTGCATCAGTTGTCACTTAAATATTGTGTTTACCCCATGCACTTTGCTTCCTGATATTCAGAAAGAAGTAAACTTTGGAAAAGTAGGGAGTGATTGCTGTAGGTTATGAGGAGAACAATTCCTTGTAATCTTCTTTTTACTCTTCCCTTTACAGTTCTCCCAACTTTAGCCAGTTTTCCCCCAGCTCTCTGTCTAGGCAGATCAGAAAAAGCACTTTCCCCTTCCCTGTGACAACATAATAAAGATGATAGAATATAGATATTAATAGAAGAATATAGATAATAAAACTTTGCATGTATGCAAACTTTTAACTTGTGGTAACTTGTGAAATCTTTTCCCTTGTGGAATCATTTTAATTTGTGAAATAATTTTCAAGGAGCGTGATATGGACAGAAAGAAGATTGAGGAGCTCATGGAGGAAAATATGACCCTAGAAATGGCTCAGAAACAAAGTATGGATGAGTCTTTGCATCTTGGCTGGGAGCTGGAGCAGATAAACAGGACTACTGAACTTTCTGAAGGTAAACCAAGTTAAAAATTGCAAAATGATTGAAATGGAAATCTCAGAGGCTGGGTTGAACATTAGGAAATGAAATGCTGATTCCCATGTATGCATGGAGATACAGCCTGCATGGGAAGTCTGTTCCTGTGGGTCTTGTGCAGTTACATAGTGGTGTAAACCCCATAAATACCTTGGAATGACTTTATTTTGCCATTCAGATTTCTGTACTCTGCAGCAAAGATCATGAGTCTTCTTGCTTTGCTGTTCTCAAAGTTAAGGAGAAGAGCTGTGGTAAAAACTTTGACTTTTCCAGTATAACATGCTTGGATATAAACTGGATTCTGTGCAAGGCACTTGTGGAATTTGGAGGTGCATCCTGAATTGTGGAAAACTAATCTGTGCTGTGATTAGGAACATTGAGAGAGTAGAACATATTTTAATTTCTAATATTTCTAATCCTGCTCAGCTCTGGTCATCAGGAAGGTGATTGAAGGTCATTGGAAGAACCTTCAAAGGCTGTTAAATCCTCTAAGTTTAAAAATGCAGTTAAATAAAATACTACCTTTTATTTTGATACTGGTGCTTTTCTCCTGCAGTGCCCCAGAAATCACTGGGCCATGAGGTGAATGAGCTGACATCCAGCAGGTTACTGAAGCTGGAAATGGAAAACCAAAGTTTGCTGAAGACAGTGGAAGAGCTGCAAGGTGCAGTGGGCTCTGTGGAAGGCAGCAGTTCAAGGATTCTGAAAATGGAAAAAGAAAACCAAAGACTTAGCAAGAAGGTGAAGGTCAGGGTGTGCTTGGATTGTGTGAGAGAGCTGCCTGATGTTCTGTGCTGTTTTCTTCCTAAAGGATTATTTTATAAATTGCTGTTATTTTGGGTAAGGCATTACAAGGGTCTGAGTGGAGTTTCAGTGTTTGTAAGTTTATGGTAAAAAATAAAACCACCTCCAAGAGGTTTTTCTCTTTTTTGTTATGTGAGGCTGTGACCAGTTTATTTCAGTCTAGTCAGAAAGGTCTTAGACCAGTGAGGGGAAAAATAATAATAGATGGAGGATATGGTGAGTAATGAAAGTGGGTTAGAATACTGGAGAGCATTAATTCTGGTAATTATGAAGCAGAAGAAAGTGTGAGTGATGAGTCTGAGCTGAAAACTTGGTCCTGTGTCCTCATTTTAGCTGAGGAAGGGAGAAGGTGGGTCAGTGAATTGATAAGCAGCTCAGGAGAGGAATTTGTCAGCTTTAACTGTGCTGAGCTGCAATACTTTACCCCTCAAATTATATGTATCAAATAGAATAATTTAGTCAGTGGTATTTATAGAGAATAAAAATTAGAAGGAAAAAAAAAAAAAAAGCTGGGACTAATTACAGTGAAGTGAAAATGTCTAAAGTTCCTGAAATAGCTTTGACTTCAGCAGCTGTTTCAGGTGAAAGACTATTCTTAGAGTGGTTAAGAGATAATTTAAAAAAGAAAGAAAATTAAAGAAATCCCTGCTGTATTCCATGATTCCATAAGATTTCTGATTCCTAAGAAGCTGGAATTTCTGGAGCAGCCTCTGTGCTGTGCCCAAAAGGCAGCTGGGAGGTACAAAAGAAAGGAATAGGTGTAAGAAACACACAAATACTGTTCAGGGTAATTTGTTACCACTTCAGTGTGACAGAGGAATCATGCCTGGGTATTTTAAATTTTAAATAGTTTTACTCTCTGCTAGTTGGAACCATTTGACAAAACAAACTCATATATTTAATTCCCAAGGAATCATCTTAATTATCTCTTGAGATAGTTAAGTAAGATCAAACAACATTGAACCTTCCTAAGTTAAAAGGGTCTTGGAGGAGCAGTATAAATCTTGCTAAAATGGAATTTTAAGAGAAAAAAAAGATACTTGAGGAAATACCCAGAGCCTGAGAAAATCTGACCCTTTTTTTACACTAAAGTACTTTACAGATACAGTGTTCTGAGCCAGGGAGAAAATTCTGGCAGGAGTCAGAGTATTCCCAGAAGAAATTAATGTTTCAATTAAAGATGAGAAACTTCTGTTTTATTCTTTCCCTTAAGCTTCTTTATTCATTTCTATAAGGGTGCCTTCAGCCCAGCTAATGCTGTCATTTTTAAGTACACTTTAAAACTTTTGTTTCTCTTCCCAGCTTGAAGAGCTGGAGAATGAAATCAGCCAAGAGAAACAAAGTCTTCAGAACAGTCAAAATCAGAGTAAAGATTTGATGAAAGAAAAAGCCCAGCTTGAAAAGACGCTTGAAGCACTTCGGGAGAACTCGGAGCGACAAGTGAGTAGCAGAACCAAAAGTTTTAATGCTGCTTTGTGCTCTGCTGGTCTCCTTTTGTAGGGTTTTACAGACATGGAGGGATTGTAAATGTCGTGGATTTGCCAGAAGGAGGTTCCTGCAGGAAAACAGCTTTGCTGAGAGCTGCAGGCAGTGAGAGACGTGACTCATTTCTGGCTGGGGCTGTCCTGGTGGCTTCAGAGCTTTGTGCTGCTTGTAACGCTCCTGTGGGCATCTGCTGGAGTGGCTGGGAGGGTGGAGCTCAGCCAGGAGAAAAATTTGGGAACTTTGGAGGGAGGCCAGGCAGCTCCCAGAGGAGGAGAACAGGTCCCAGGCAGCTGGCAGTGTGTGGAGTGGAGTATTGATGGGAATTCCAGCTCCATAACTCTGCCCTGCACTGGGATGGCTTCCTGCTGTGACCACCTGCATTGATTTGTGGCTGCCAAAACCTGGCATGTGAATCCTTGTAAAAGATGTGCCTGTGCCTGATGGACAGCACTGGCACCTTCTGAGGTGTCTGCAGAGCAGCCACCAGGAAAAAGAGCTCTGCAAGTCCCAGATTTAGGAATTCGCTCCTTCAGAATTAGAACTGCATTTAGCTTTTATAAATTCTATTTATACCTCCTGATGACAAGGCCATTCAGTTTAATTTAAAGTACAGTCTTTTGAAATGCAGAATATTATATTTCATAAATGCTGAATATTTTTAAAGGCCCTGTTTAATCAGTAAATGAAATTCCAGAAGGAAAGAAAATGGGAGGGGAAAAAAAAAAGCTTGGCATGGAAGGTTTACTTTCATTTAAAGATATATGTCTTGTTTTAGGACTTACATTTTAGTGGGACTATTTCTACTTAAAAATAATACACTTAAGGGCTGATGGGTCAACAGCATCTTCCATATCTCTTCCAAAATCCTGTGCTGACACTTACTGGAGTTGACTGTAGGAGGTTCATTTGGTTTCATCCAAAATCATGGAGGCATTTATCAGGATTTTTTGTAGAATTGGGATTACAGAAGCAGAATTCATGGACAGCAATTCAGTGCCATGCCAGGTGCTGCAGAGTTGTGTTTTTAGGCACCTGTTAATGAGTTTGTGGTGAATTTTCCAGAGCAGTTTGTCAGTGCTGGGAGCAGAGCTGTGGATCTGTAATTAATAGTTCCATTCAGATTTCACTATGGAAGAACAGCCTGTAATTTTCTCAGCCTGTTTTTCATTGCAAGCAGCACTTTTGCTTTTCTCCCAAACAGTTTATTGTTGAAACATCCCTTACACTGGGTTATTAGTGTACACTTAAATATTGATCCAAACACTTTTGCTGGATTTTGCTGTCTGGTGTTACATGCCCAGATAATTCCAAATGATTTGGAGCAACCTAAAAAGCCAAGAAATATTAAAAATTAAGATGCAAGCTCTGCCTGTATCCTTGAGGTAGATCAGGGAAAATGATTTCTAGAAAAATAATTCCAATATGATTTATTTGTTCTGAAGCTGGTTTGGAACAGAGTATCCAAAGGTTCTTTGTAACTCAAAAATCAGTTCTCAAATTGTTGTTGACTGGGATCAGGATTCCCTCATCTCCCACCCATCACCTCTGCTTCTTCCAAATGAAATAAAGAGATTTTTATGGCTCCCACACCTCTCTCCAGCTGAGGTTTGGTTTATAACTTTTTGCAGTTCTGTTCTGTGTGGACACACAGCTCTGGAAATCACAGAGTGTAAGAAAACACAATTCAAACGAGGGTAAACACAAATGAAAATTCAATCTGCTAGGAAGTAGGTAAAGCTTTCCTTTGATTTGTGCTTTATTGGTTTGGGGTTTGTTTATCTATTAATAATCAAGAGGAAGAGATCTGAAGATTTACTTTGTCATCAAACTTGAAGTAATGTTTGTAATTCTTCACATAAATATTAGCAGAGTAAGAGATTTTCTTTAGCTCAGAAGGTAAATATGATTTGATGAGTATCTTTTAGTTTATATATGGAAGCAATTCCTTGTTGGCACATTCTTTATCACTTTACCATTTTTCTGCCCAAATTAGATTAAACTCTTAGAACAAGAAAATGAGCACTTGAATCAGACTGTGGCTTCTCTGAGGCAGCGCTCACAAATCAGTGCTGAGGCGAGAATGAAAGAAATTGAAAAGGAAAATAAAATCCTCCATGAGTCTATCAAAGAGACCAGCAGTAAGTTAAATAAGATGGAATTTGAAAAAAAACAAGTCAGGAAAGAGCTGGAACACTACAAAGAGAAAGGGGAGAGGGCAGAAGAATTAGAGAACGAACTGCATCGTCTGGAGAAGGAAAATGAGTTATTACAGAAGAAAATCACCAACCTAAAAATCACTTGTGAGAAGATCGAGGCCTTAGAACAGGAGAACTCTGACCTGGAGACAGAGAACAGAAAGCTGAAAAAAACCCTGGATAGCCTGAAAAACCTCACTTTTCAATTAGAATCCTTAGAAAAGGAGAATTCCCAACTGGACGAAGAAAATTTAGAGTTACGGAGGACAATTGAATCCTTGAAGTGTACAAGCATTAAAGTGGCACAGTTACAATTAGAAAATAAGGAGCTGGAGAGTGAAAAGGAGCAGCTCAAAAAAAGCCTTGAGCTGATGAAAGCCTCTTTTAAGAAGACTGAACGCTTGGAAGTCAGTTACCAAGGCCTGGACACGGAAAACCAAAGGCTACAGAAAGCCCTGGAAAACAGCAATAAGAAGATTCAGCAGTTAGAGAGTGAATTACAAGATTTAGAGACTGAAAATCAGACCCTGCAAAAGAACTTGGAAGAGTTAAAAATCTCCAGTAAGCGCCTGGAGCAGCTGGAAAAGGAGAATAAGTTGTTAGAACAAGAAACTTCTCAACTGGAAAAGGATAAGAAGCAGCTGGAAAAGGAAAATAAAAGGCTTAGACAGCAAGCAGAAATTAAAGATAATACCTTAGAAGAAAATAATGTCAAAATCAGTAATCTGGAAAGGGAAAATAAATCTCTGTTTAAGGAAATCGTTGTGTATAAAGAGTCGTGTGTGCGCCTGAAAGAACTGGAGAAGGAAAACAAGGAACTGGTGAAAAGAGCCACCATTGATAAGAAAACCCTGGTCACCCTGAGAGAGGTAAACACAGAGGAGTTCCCATTCCCATCGTGATCCCTTTGTAATGTACAGAAATTGTATCTGCCTTTCTGATTGTGAGGTTTTTTTTCTGCTTTAATCTGTGCACTGTTAACACCTTTATGCATTAAATCATCAAAAATTTTATAATGATAGTCATTGAAAGGAAGAATATCATATTGCTGGAATGTTTGCCCTTCATTGTCATGTTCCAGACCAAATTTGAAGGGGAATTCTAGAGGGAAAGGGAGAGAGCACAGAGAAATCCTATTTTACAACATAATGTCTACAACTGGAAGGGGAGTTAAAGTTGAATTATTCCAGTCATGCAATGATAAAACATCCCAGAACTAAGACCCCACATTATTTTATTTAGCTGGAAACACTGACTGTAGTTTTTTTTTCTGTGCAAGGACTTGGTGAATGAGAAATTGAAGACTCAACAGATGAACAATGATCTAGAAAAACTGGCCCACGAGCTGGAAAAGATTGGCTTGAACAAGGAGCGTCTCCTGCACGATGAGCAGAGCAGTGATGACAGGTGAGAGTGGCAAAGAGGACAAATGAAGATTTTTTTTATTCATAAAGTGGTTTTGCAGACTGGTTCTGTGCATGCTCTTAGGTTTTTAAGGCACACTCATGGACCCAGAAAGGAACTCGATATTTTTGGAAATGAATTAGCTGATGTGCTTTCACATTCAGCTGACTGTGACAGTGAGTTGCCACTTTTTGTTGCTAAGAGACTCACTGAAGTATGTCAGGAGATAGAGTTAATTATAATTAAAATGTTTTATGCTCTAGTCAGCAGCAGCAACAGTACCAGTAAAAGATAATTAGCTCAAAGTAGGGTTTTTTTTCCTTTTTGTCTGCCTGTCTGACACAAATGGGTTTTATCAATAGTGATTACCTTAAACTGTCTCACTCATTCCTTGCAACCATTTCCTTCTAATTCTTCCATCCTAAAGGAAGCTGCATTCCCACTTTCCCTGGCTGGGAAATACCCAGTTTTTCAGTGGCTCCAGAACTTGGTGGTGGCTCCATCCCTCCTCCATACCTGCCCCTGGGGAGCAGCTGCTGCCCTGGCATCTGTTTCCTCTGCTGCCTTTCCCTGCCCTGCCTTGCCCTGCAGGGATTTGGGGGAATGGGTGGCAGGAGCAGAGCAGACTGGTGTGGGCTTCCAGCCAAGCTTGGCTTCCCAGTGCAGTTCTGCTGTCATGATCACTTATTACAACTGATTGGCATGAACCTGGGGATGGATCTGGGGCCTTCTGTGTCCAGAGGAACTCAAAGAAGCCCAAATGTTGGGGTTTGAATGCAGCTGCCCTTTCCCAGTGCTCTGTCACAGGGGTGGTGCCAGGTTCCTGTGTCCCCCTCTTGGTTTGTGCTGGTGCCTTTCAGCTGCATTTCTGTGCTCCCAGAGGAGTTCAGGAAAAGCTGTCACAACTTGCACTGCTTGGATTTCTTCTGATTCAAGCATTTCATTTAAGCACTTGATAAGCATTTGATATGTCCTTAGATAAATATACCCAACAAAAACCCACCAGTCCTTGATCCAAGGGGAAGCTTAAACTTAGATGAAGCCCAAATGGAGCAACATTTAATCAAGTTCTGGGTTAGAAGTGGTTGAGCTCTGCTGCTGCCTTGAGCTTCTTCCCATGCTCCATATAGAGCTGGAGCATCATGAAAGGGCAGTGTTTGTTTTCAAAGAGAAAAAACTAGCATTGGTTTGAAATTTTGTTCTGCCAATAAATCCCCTGATTTTTCCATTGTTCTCAACCTTTTCATTCATCCCAGAGATACCTGGATTGCTTTCCTTGCATAACAATACTTAGGTGAGTCATTACCAGCTGGGTTCATTAGGGATACAATTACTTCTCAGTCTAGTTTTTCATCTGCCTCTGTCATTTTGATGATGGAAATTAAAAATGTACCATTTTCCTCCTCCTGATTGCAAAGAGCTGCTTGTGGTTTTTAATAAATGATCTTGGTAGCACCTTAGAGTTTTTCTGTTGAGGTCTAAACTGGCCACGTTTTAGGACTTGGAAGTGTTTTCCATTTTCTCTTGCCTGCTGTCCTCGGACAACAGATTTATGGATTTTGATTCTAAATCCAAAATAACCCAACTTGCAGTTATATTAAAAAATTCATACCATTTTTCACTGCTCAAAGTGTAAGTAGATACTGGATCTCTGCTATTACTATTTTTTGTCCTTTGTTTTCTATAGAATTGTGTCATTTTTCAGTAGCAGGAATTACTTGCAGCCAAATCTGTTCTTCAGCTCAGGAAGGTGAAATACTGTATATTCTACTAGTCCCAGGCTGCCTACTGTTCTGTAAATCCTTGGGAATTGGTTGTCATATCTGAAAATCTCAGACTCTCCTCCTGCTGCATGATGCTACTGGACAGCTTTCTGCTTATTAATTCTCTTGCCATGGGTCTTCTGCTCCAGTTCCTGACTGGATCTGATGCTGTTATCCATTCAGGAGTCTCCTGCACTTTATTCCTGTCACTAAACTGAGGGATCCTTCAGCAGCCAGGACTGGAAAGGGGAGATGGCAGTGGTTGGGGTTATTTTATCCAGCTGTGGGGAGGAGTGGGGGGTTCTCCAGATTCTGAGCTGCTCAGAAGTGATTAATGAGTGTGGGTTTTGGTATTTCCCATAATGAGTGTCCAGTTCTAAATGAATACAGTTAATCTGACCACTTGTCTCTCACTCTGACATTTTGGGAGGTTTAGGTTCCCTACAATATCGTGAATATGGTTAAAAATGGAAGCTTTGCACATCAAGGGTGGCGACAGTCTCAAAATATCAGCAGCTGGGCTGAGTGAGCAATTTGCACATTGATGCACTAAACAAGTGTGCACCTGCACAGTTCTGGGCTCCATCTCCTTCCCTGTCCTTCCCTTTGGAGCTGGCTGGAAATGGGAACTGATGAGAATCCTGCTCTCCAAATTCTTCACATTGCAATTGAGTGGAGGTCCCCGCTGGATTCTCTGGAGTGGAGCCAGGGGCAGTGCAGGCACCACTCACTAATGATGCAGAGAAACCCAGCACCCCCCTGGTGGGCCTGAATGGGTCTTGTGCTGGGTCTAACATCTTTCAAAAGAAATATGGAGTCAAAAATTGTTCTGATAACTATCTTCTGGTTATTTATTTCATTCTACTTGCTATGGATGCTGAGGTGTCTTCACACTTTTGACCTCAGCACTCAGGGATGTTTGAATGTAGCTATGACTCTGCTCTAGAACATTTTAGAATTTAAGTACCTGGAATAATTATTTAAAATACAGACTCGTTTTTGTTGTTGGCCAGTAGGTACAAACTTTTGGAGTCCAAATTAGAATCCACCCTCAAGAAGTCTCTGGAAATAAAAGAAGAAAAAATTGCTGCTTTGGAGGCTCGTTTGGAAGAATCAACAAATCTGAACCAGCAGCTGCGTCAGGAACTGAAAACAGTAAGGGAATTTTAATAGAAATTAATATTAAATGAGCTGTTGTTATTTCTACACTTTCTGGGGAAGACAGCAAAAAATGAGCATCATTCAGGTGATGGAAAGCAGGACAAAGGGGTGAAAGCTTTTTAGACTGTGTTGAAATCACACGAAAATTGTTCAGTTTATTCACTGGCCATGAAAACATCAGCTGGATAAGTAATCTGAAGTTGATTTGATTTGGGATGTCATTTCCAGCTACATTTTTCTGGCCTACCTTGAGCAGCCTGAGTAGATTGGTTAGAAAAGGAAATTCTTTTACCTTGGTTAGAGAATTTTAGTATAAAAGTTGGGGGATACAGTTGGAAACATTGAAATAAAATAGAAAATGGAGGTCTGCTGTTTGTTGGGGTTAAACTGTCCATATCCATAAATAATTCGTGCATCATCTCCCAAACATGTAAAAAACCCCAAATTTACAAATACAATAACAGCACTTCCTGTTCTTTGAGAAGGGGCATGGTCAGGTAATAAATTAATAAATTTGGACATGCAAAATGGAAAATTGTAACCCTAACCTAAGCTGTCCTAAATAATTCCAGGTGAAGAAGAACTATGAAGCTCTCAAGCAAAGACAAGAAGAGGAAAGGATGGTTCAGAACTCTCCTCCAAGAAGTGGAGAAGAAAATCAATCTGTCAATAAGTGGGAGAAAGAAAATCAGGAGACTACAAGAGAATTATTGAAAGTTAAAGATAGATTAATCGAGGTGGAGAGGAATGTAAGATGTGTTTTAAATATCGTTCTGGTGGTAAACATTTGTGGTGAGCTGTTCCAGTGATGCAAATGAGGGTGCTGTTAAGACACTTGAATTTATCACCTCGTTTCCATCCCAAGAATTAAATACAGTGCATGTAGCAGCTGGATTCTGCTCTGTGGGATTCCATAAAGCACTTGATAGGCATTTCAAAAGGAAATGTGAAAACCTGAATCTGCCCTTTTGAATGCACAGCTCTCTCTCAAATCCCAGTTGTATAATCCCTGTCCTGGAGGTTCCTCTCCTGTTTCTCTGTAGGTGCAACATCTGTTACCTGTTTTGCCGGTGATAAATCCCCCCAAAGTGTGTTTGTTCTGCAAGTTTATCCCACCCTGTAAATCTCTGCACAGTCCTGCTGCTTTCTAAGGTCTGGGAAACACTTCTGTTGTATCTTGGAGTTGCTGGGGCCTCTGTGGGCTGAGGTTTTTGTGTGGTTTTAACCCCCCAGAACGCGACGCTGCAGGCGGAGAAGCAGGCGCTGAAAACGCAGCTCAAGCAGCTCGAGACACAGAACAACAACCTGCAGGCCCAGATCCTGGCCCTGCAGAGACAGACTGTGTCCCTGCAGGAGCAGAACACGACTCTGCAAACTCAGAATGCCAAGCTGCAGGTAATGCTGCTTTGTTTGCTCTCAGAAATAAAATCAGGTGGTTTTTTCCAAGGAAAACTTAAATTATGTCATTGTCGTTAGCTTTAAAATCACATTTGGCTTCCTGGAGGGACGTGGGAAAGGTGGTGGTGATGTGAAAATAATCTGCACTCAGCAGTCAAATAATGGTTTGTTTGCTGATGAAGAATTAGAAATTGGTTTTAATCCCTTGTCCAATGTAAAATCTTGACTTTATACTTATAAGTAGAGTAGATTCTCTTACCCGGTTTCCAAGATACCTTGGGCTTTTTTATTGTGTTTATACATCTAAATTAGGTCAGAGAAGTGTGTCCAACCATATTCTAATAAACTTTACGTATTTTTATAAATACCTAAAAAAATAAAAGTAAAGCCATACCTAAGAGGATAATCAAGGTCTTAAATACAGAAGATCTTTAAAAAAACAAAGGAAAATGGAAAGGTACCTATATATGTGAAGACCTGAATTCAGATAATTGAGAGGCAGTAAAAATGTATTGTGTGACCATGGAAATCATAAAAATGGTTGTCCCCAGAGTCCTGCAGCTCTTCTGGCCAAAATTCAGATGTTGCCCTTATAGTTTAATAGGGTTATTAAATATGCATCTTGTTTCTTTAAATATTTTTGTGAATGGATGTAATACTTTTTGAAGTTGTAAGAATTAAAACTCCCTCAGGAGGGGATAAAAACCCCACAATGCAGCAGAAATAGTAAAGAGAGTCAGAAAGGATGGAGGGCTGATGGAAATCAAGATGTCAAGGGCTGTTTAAATGAGACAATGAATGCATTTGGTGGATGCCTGAAGTCTCCTCCTGGCTCTTCATGGGAAGCAGAACATTTTTGTTCCATGGATGCCCTTTCTGCTGCCATAATGAAACAGGACATGGGTGCACACCCTGTGCCTCCTCTGGTTGTTAAAAACCTGTGGATGTGGCATGGAAATATCCTGTTTAACCTGTTGAGAGGGGATTGCTGGGATTCAGAGCTCTCTGAGTACTTGGTAATTCCCTTCATCAAAAAAAAACCCAGGAATCTTTGTAGTTCCTCTTTTGCCTCATGCCCAGCAGCTCAGGCCATTCCTCTCAGGCAAGACAATTCTCCATGAGCTGCAAATCCAAGTGGAAGTTGAAATATGCTCAGGAAAGTCAAAGTGATGAACTGTTGGCTAAATCCGAAGTGCAGACTGAGCTGCTCTAGCTGGGCTGTGCCAAAACTGTTCCTGGGCAGCTCATTCTTCTCTTCCTCCTGATAGCCATAAGGAGCAGCCAAGGGGAAGGATGTCTGAAAAGGGTAACTGGGAATTCTGACCTAACCAAACTCAGATTCAGCCTGGGAAGTTTCCCAGCACACCCATGCCATCAGACATGACTTCATTTCCAGTGAAAGGTTCAGCTTTCTCATCTGTAACAAAGAGCACTGCAGTTCCAGCACGAAGGGATTTGTTCCCTGGTAACAGCGGGAACTGGAGTGAGAGATGGAAATTTTTTTTTTCCTTAATAGATACCCTGAGGGTATTAGAAGGCTCAGTAGTTTGTGGTTTTCATCTCTTGAACAGGAAAGAGAAAGGAAGCTGGTACAGGTCAGGTGACAAGCACCGTTTCTTTAAGATATCCAGGGATTTCTCCAGAGGCACAAAAAGTGGAGTTGTTGGTTGGGGCTTTTTTGAACTGTCTAATGTTGAAGGCTTTAGTATATTAATACACATTAATGCTGTTCTGGGACAGCTGTTGGAGAACTGCTGCAGTTCCACAAAAGAGCACAGAACAGAGCATGGGTAGTTCCTTCCAGGTGCTGTTTTTCCTGTTGGAACTCTCACTGCGAAGCTCTGCATGGATACCATGAAGATTTATGGTGACAGTACAGAAGTTTTTTAAGAATAAATCTCCATGCCAGTGTGGAAATTGCTTTTATTTTAGTCATGTCACAGATTGGGCTTTTATTAGGATCGCTGGTGATTGATTTCTCCAAGGTAGCTTGGTGCTGGAGGGAAATGGCAGCAAAAAGGTTGCCAGTGGAACAACCAGAAGGTCTCCGAGGGTTAAACCCAGGAGATGTTGAAGTGGGAGCTGGAATAACCCGGGCCGTGCCCCCGTTGCTGGCTGCAGGTGGAGAACTCCACGCTGAACTCGCAGAGCACGTCGCTGATGAACCAGAACGCTCAGCTGCAGATCCAGCAGTCGGCCCTGGAGAGCGAGAGCGAGGCCGTGCTCAGGGAGCGAGAGGACCTGAAGGGGCTGCACGAGGCCCTGCTCAAGGACCACGAGCGCCTGGAGCAGCTGCACGAGCGCCAGGCCGCCGAGTACGAGTCCCTGATCGCCAAGCACGGCAGCCTCAAGGCTGCCCACAAAAACCTGGAGCTGGAGCACAAGGACTTGGAGGACAGGTAAATGCTGCCAGCATTAATCACTCTCTAATAAAACAATAGCATGAATAAAATCATGATTGCTTAATCACTAAGATTTAAACTTTAACAGGCCGTTTCATCAAAATTCCTTTTTTTTTTTTCCGGTCATTCCACAAATTTTGTCTTTGCAGGTACAATCAGTTGCTGAAACAGAAAGTGCAGCTGGAGGAACTGGAGAAGGTTCTCAAGACAGAGCAGGACAAAATGCTGCAGCAAAGTGAGAAACATGAGAGTGTGGCAGCAGAATATAAGAAACTTCGGGATGAAAATGAAAGGTAAAGAGAATTGTGACACTGGAGCACCTGCCAGTGCAGCTTAAACAAGTGGTGTGTTCTTCACATCCCTTCAACACCAGGTGCTGCTATTCTGAATATTCATCATCCCACAAAAATAATCATTATAACCTGAGGGGATAAGTGGGACAAAGGGAGCCCAGGAATGGATGTGTGTAACCTCCAGGATTCCTAAAGTTTGGGCCATTCCTGTTTTGTGTTGGCAAGAAATCCTGGCTGATTTGTAAGATTCTTTTATTCTGGAAAGTGGCATCTTAAAAGCAGTTGTGATGTAGAGATGCTGCTTTGTATTTAAACACACAGAGAACAGCGCTTGGCTCAAAGGCAGAACACATTCCTAGGAAAATGAGGCTGGGATAACTTTCAGGATGTGACAGTAAGGAATTTGTGTGTGTGTTTTATGGACTAGTTGGAAATGTCATGTTTCAGAGGGAGTGGGGGTAACAAATTCATTTCCAGCACTCTTTGATGGTGTCTCTGCATCCCAGGCTCACTCACACGTACACTCAGCTCCTGAGGGAGAATGAAGTGCTCCAAACTGACCACAAGAATCTGAAAACATTATTGAACAATTCCAAACTGGAGCAAACACGCTTGGAAGCAGAGTTTTCCAAACTCAAAGAACAGTACCAGCAACTGGATATTACATCAACAAAACTAAATAATCAGTGTGAGGTACGTGGGAATTCTGCTCTTTGTAATGGCTGGAATATTTTTATAACTGTATTTATAGGTTCATAAAATCGTATGAAGTGCTGGAGTATCAATCATTTATAGATAATGAAGTGGATCCAAAGAGTAATTAATTTACCTAATGTACAGGCAATACACAATTTCAGGCTCATCTTAGGGAAACTGGTTTAAATTATTTAAAGCATCAAAGAGGCTTTTATAAGTTGATTTGTGATTTAATTTTGGGTTTGATTTGACTCTCAGAATCCCTCTGTAGACCTAAATTTTCTTGTTAATCTCATGATCTGTGTATAAAATATACTCACATATAAATGCATGGGCAATTTCATCTGTTTTAACAGTTGCTCAGCCAACTTAAAGGAAACCTGGAGGAGGAAAACAGACACCTGCTGGATCAAATCCAGACCTTAATGCTGCAGAACAGAACATTACTGGAGCAGAACATGGAAAGCAAGGATCTCTTCCACGTGGAGCAAAGGCAGTACATGTGAGTTGTGGAAACAAGGAAATCACTGTGATTAGGGCAGTGCCACCAATACCTGCATTGTTAAAAAAAGCTTCTGTTATATATAGAATTTAAGACATGTGCTGCTTCTGAAATGCTTCTCTTTAAAATAAGAATTTCAGTGATAAATGCAAAGCAGATAACTCAAAATATGAACATGGTGCTTGTAGTTCTAAAGGATCAGAACAACCGTGTTCATTACTGATGATGGAAGTGAGGAATAAAAACGTATTTATTCCTCATTCTACTACTGGCAAAGTTTAGATTTGTAATCACTGTATTTGTAGATTGATCCCTTCATACACAAGTCTACATACATTGGAGATTAATTTGTAGATCTGTGGACTGGAGAGAAGAGAAAATGTGCTTCTCTAAATGATACAGCACTTTATTTAAAAAAGAGGAATGTGTAATAAAGGCAAATGGAGTCTTATTCCATTCTGTATCACGAAGTCAAGCCTGAGGCAGATTGTTTGCTGTATCTGTTGCTTTTTCAATAAGAAACAAATGCTTTGTAAGAATTACCCACAAAAGGTGACAATTTTCAGATAACAGATTCCCAGAGGAACGTGCTGCCTCCGCACCCTGTATACGTTTTTGAAGCATAAATTACCATTCATTTCTGTTTGCAGTGACAAACTAAATGAATTGAGGAGGCAGAAGGAGAAACTGGAGGAGAAGATAATGGATCAGTACAAATTTTACGAGCCATCTCCACCAAGAAGGTACTGATGCACATGATGTAGAATAAAACACAGCTCTAAAGCATGGCAGACCTGTTCTGTTCCCGCTGAAAATCGGGATCAGGATCACATCTGTGCCTTGAATAGCAATGAGGAGGCTCTGCAGGCCTGAGCAGTGTGTTACACATGCAGTGAATGTGCTGTGTTGTTGATGGCAGGAGGGGCAACTGGATCACGCTGAAGATGAGGAAGCTGATCAAGTCCAAGAAGGACGGGAACCGCGAGCGCCTCAAGTCGGTGACGCTGACGCCCACGCGCTCCGAGTCCAGCGAGGGATTCCTGCAGCTGCCCCACCAGGACAGCCAGGACAGCTCCTCCGTGGGCTCCAACTCCCTGGAGGATGGGCAGACCCTGGGCACCAAAAAGAGTAGCAGTGAGTACTGCAAACAGCTCGGCTCCGTGAATAAACCTTGGCGAAATGCTGGAAAAGTCTGCGTGTTGTGCAGGATTTGTAAAGATCGCTTTGAAGTCTGTAGGAATGAAGCCTGAATTAATTCATTAATTCATTCATTAATTAATTCATTAAGTTCTTACAAACTCCCTGAAGTGTTTGGGCAGAACTAGTTTTGAGCATTTCTGTATCTCAAAATGCAAGTGTTAAAATGCACTCACAGTGCCTGGGTAAGATGAAGCAGGCACTGGTGCTGGGTCAGGTGAGCAGGATTTGGGATAGAATGCCAGGTGTCAGCACAAGGAGCCTTTTTGTTTCTCCCTCTTGTCCCAGCATGACTCTTTCCCCTTGCCTTGGAAGTGTTTTCCAAGCTGTGGCTGTGCTAACATCCTTGAGTTGCTGAAAACACCTTCTGTCTGAAGGTGTTCCCTCAGCATCTCACAAAACCAGCGATGAAATCTGGATATGCAACGAGAAGTGTTAATGTAGAAACACAACCTGTTCAAAATACAGGAATTGTTATTGGTCCTGAAATTGGAGTGAAGTGGTTGAGAGGGAGAACAAGGGCTTAGAGAAATGTGGTTAGCTAGAGTATTCCAGGCACAATTTGCTGAACTTGAACGATTTGATAGCCATCCCATTAGGGTGCCTGTGATATATAAGGCCAGGTTCTGTTTATTATTGCTTATTATCTGTGTTTTTTGTTCTTCACTCTTGGCATGAATAATGAACTGCCCAGTTTCTCACAACTTGAGAGATACAATTGCAGCCAAGTTATCGGGATGTGATGGTACTATTTAATAACTATGCACCAAAAGCATTTTGGCTGTGCATGTAAAAGCATCAGAATCCATGTGCATTAACAGTCACTTCCAGCCTTTGCACTGCTACTTTTAAATGTGATGTATTGGGGTTCAAAAGACAGCAGGTCTGGGGTTTGTGCCAGCTGTGAATTATTACAGCCATTGTGATGTGATTTTTTTTTAATTTTTTTTTTTTTTATTCTGTGCTTCTTACAGAAGCTTAGTCAAAGTCAAAAACATCCCCAAAAAAACCCTATTTCAGGAAAAGTTAAAATCAGATCTGTTTTTTTAATAACTGAAGAAAATAGTTCAGGGGTGCATTTAGCACTTTTTTTACTAACTTAGCCCTTTGGGGAGCTCAGCCTTTTTCAGTGTAAGCTTCAAAAGAGGTACTTTGAAACTTGCCTAAAAAGCAACTGTTGCTTTTACATCCAAACCCAGAGTGGTGTGGAACTGGGGAGTGACTGAAGCTGTCCTGGATGTGTGTCAGTGGGAGCCGGGAGTGTGCACGCTGTGGTTCAGCCCATCTGCATCTGTGTCAGCAATGTCGTGTTCTGGAAGGGCTTTTTCTGTGACAGTTTTCTTTGCATGATCCTTGGGACCTTGTAGTGTGCAGTTACCCTCCTGGGGAGCCACGGCTGCAGTTACGGTGGCTGAGCCTCAAAAGAGGTTTGAACCTCATTAATTTTCTACTCCATGGACCTTGTTCATGTTTCCCTTAATCCCAGTGTATTTATCCACAAACTGGAAGGGCTGATCTAATTCCGGATCCTAACCTTCCTCCGTTACACGTGTCGCCATGGAAACCAGAGTTTTGGAGAGAATTCGGATGTGTTTGGTGCCAGCTCAGCTCTGACAGTCTCTGACACAGAGATCTGAGACAGTTTGTGCCTCACAAAGCAGAGAGAATATCTCAGTGTGACAAGGGCTGATGATGGTGCACGTTTTGCAGTCTGTTTCTTCTGCTCCTAGAGTGACTGTAAGTCCTAAATCCCGGGATTTGGGGGCTTTTCTTTTCCGTGGGAAGCAGTTTGGCAGCAGCAGCTCGCACTGAAGGAGCTACAGGAGGGAGCAAACGTGTGAGTGCCACCTGTCTGTGCCAGTGCTCAGGTGCTGGAGCTCTCTGTGCTGGCTGAAGAAGAGTTCTGTGCCACCCTGACCTCCAGAACTGGGCAAGGAGCTGGTTCCAGCAGGAGCTGCCGAGGTGAAATGTCCTGAGTGTCCTTGAGGAGGCAGCTCACCTTCCCTGGCACAATCCAGCGATGTTGTAAGCTGCAGGACTGAGTATCTGACACACAGATCTCCAGGATACACAGGGCTCCCACCCCCGTTCCCTGTCAGAGATACTGGTTTCAAAAGTGTTTGCTGTGTGTGACATCTGTAGTTTTTCCTCTTTTGTGGCTGGTGATGGAGATCGTGTTTTCCCAACACAAGCCACTTTGTCATGCAGAATGTTTCCAGGAGAGCTGTTATCTCCCTGGGAAAGGTGATCTTGGCACAAAAACCAGGTTACTCTGTTCTCAGAGAGCACCAGCTGAGGTCTCACTGCGTGGCCAGAGCCTGTGTCTGATCCCTGTGGGAAGGAGGGGGTGCCTGGAGAGCTTTTGCTGTCCCAGCACAGCTTAATCCTGCAGGAGGTGTGTGCTCCTGACTGCAGGGTTCCACCTTGGCTTTCCATGGCTGCTGCAAGTACAGCCTCCTCCTTCCCAGGTACTGCCCCAAATAATTACTGAGCACCCCTAATGATCAGCTCCGTGCTGTGGATCTGACACCTGCCCTGTGCAGAGCTTTTCCTCTGGATGGATGGAGCCATTCTGAGCTTTTCCAGAGAAAAC